TACGTACTTAACATCAGAATGAACAGGTGTTACATTAATAACCAAACATGCAACTCTGTCACTGCATCTGACGTCATCCCATTGAAGTTGGTGAACTTCTTATCATCCAATATATTTACTGTGAACTTATGTATGGATACTTTTTATGTAATTATCAGTAAACCCCTGGACATGAAGTAAAAAATGAAGTATACTGATTGTCGTATGATTGAGACGATGCTTTTCAGTTATTATGAACCGGTCTACACAACTCCCATCTAAATACATTCCCAGCCTCTGTGTAGTCAAACAAGTTTCTTGAGTGATACCGTACGGTTTGCATATGTAACAAACAGGAATGTAATGTCCTATACGCTATAGAGTATGCCTAATCGCTTTTTCCTATTCTGCATTGTAAGTTTGCTCAAGCTATGTGATGGATCTTTATTGCATCGTTAAAGATTCTTCTAATGAAAACACATCTGAACTTACAGTCCTAATCACTATGTGCATTTTCTATCTCCAACAAACATTTTTACACATTTGATGTTTCTAAGTCTCTGTCTGCCCAATGTACAAATGTTTTCTCAATTCTTTGACACAAGCAGTAAATTCGCTACTATGACAAAATCTCACGTCACAGTTGTTGGCTCACTCAACGTTGACCTATCTGTGTAATTCCAATTAACCCTAATGTGTTGTATTCCTAGATTCACGAGTACTATTCCAAAACTAGGAGAGACAGTAACTGGTTCGAGTTTTCTTCTTGGTTACGGGGGTAAAGGGGCGAATCAGTGTGTGGCTTCCAGAGTACTGGGATGCAACACTGCACTAATAGGAAAAGTTGGAGATGACTACTTTGGTGAAATGTTTGTTCAGCACTTAAAACAACTTGGAGTGAACACTGGTAAGTGAAATCTAAGAGAAATGTCAATGACTTAACAATATTTGCACAAAATTAATTCCTATCTTCTCCTACACCCCATTAATGTAAACAAATAGCCAATACTTTCGAAACAATAATTTATATCCTGTCAACATTAGTTATGCAGGCGTCGTTAATTAATTTGGACTGTTTCGAGAAGTAAATAAGATTTCTTTTAACAACACGTCTTATTTGACAACCCATCTTGGTTGCATTTACTCGCCTTTATCAAGACATTCCTTACTAGTTCTAGTCCTAATCGCTCCTTTATAAATAGTAATTTAGTTTCTTTGTCCAGTACATTGTCATATTTGTATACTAGTATATTACTTAACAATATTCTTATTTGAACTTAGACGGTATATCAAGAACATCAATGAATAGTACTGGAGTTGCATCGATTACAGTTGAAACAAGAACAGGTGGAAATCAAATTATCATCGTCCCAGGTGCAAATATGCTTGTATCAGAAAAAGACATTTCTCTTGCTGAGAAACTAACCCTCTTGGATACAAAAGTAATGGTTTGTCAGTTTGAAGTAAGTTTATAGCAATCATGATTGATTAGTTATCAAGTAAAACGCAAACCCTAATATGTCTATTGAACTTAGTATCTTTTCACATGATGTCAACGCTAAGGTTCACTGTCTCGACATCCCAGTAAACAATCATGCAAATCCACACACTAAGCAGAAGCGTCTTCAACTTCATCGACAACAAAAACAGAGCATGTAGAGAACTGTGGACTAGCCCAACGTTGCATATACACACCTCGTTAGTGTTGTAATAAGTTATAAAACCCTGTCTGTTTCAAACATTCACAAAAGTAACGACTTTCCAGTTTCAGAGTTTAACCAAATTGTTCGTTATCTTATTGATGAAGAAACTGGAATTTTTATTGCCTTGTGTAATAAAGCACATATTTCTTAGCGAAAGCAAAATAAATATGTAACATTTCACATGCATTTCTCCTCATGTATACTTGAGAGGACCCACTCATGGCTTATCCGAAGTCATCTTTAGCTTCATCTGACCACAAAAGTCCCAGTTTACACCTTGCTCGCAAGAGTAGCTCTATTTTGTTCTTAACAGTGGCAATCGTGCTGTAGTTTTCAGCCGTAATTATTATGAGAGTAAAATGAACTTACCTTTCGTCAATTTATTTTTCAGTTTATTGCCCTGGGTTTTTTGTTGTAACAGTTTTCTGCTCTACATTAAATTAATGAATACCGGTAATAATTGTAGCATGATGCATCAAGACTGACTCAAACAGAAATCCGAAAAAATCCCGACGTCGGAGTAGAAACTTCAAATAGGACTTTCGAGTCTTTATCACCGATTACTGAGTATCCAATTATAACAGGAAAATGTAGTTCAACCCGCCAAATATTTCAGTACTTCGAGCGATCTTACTACGTTTACAACACTTAGTTCACCTTTTATAGAAGATTGTTTGTTCAGTGTCGTTTCGGCTTTAGCGATGGATGCAAAACTAGCTTATAGTAATCCTGCCGAACCCATGGATCTACTTATGTGAAACATACATTCAAAATTGACAAATTAACACCAATCTATAACTAACTTGTGTAGAGTTTTCGAGAACAAAACGTACACAACAGCAATTACTTTCACTTCTAATTAGACCTATGCGTTTTCTACTTGCGAGAAGTCAAATTTAGCAAACACAGAAGACAACTCTGTATATTGTGACATTCGCTGGCACCAACTGCTCAGAATGTCAAGGCCGTCTATACAACAGGAAGTGTCCAACAGAACATGCCATTACTCATGTTGTGATGTTTTTAACTGTATCTTTGAATTGTAATGAAAGTTCCTGATATGACCTTCGTTACGTAGCAAAATACTAATTGCCTGGACCTTCATCCCCATCTACTAGTTAACTCAATTATCGGTCATTAATTGGCTGAAGTGTTGATTTTTTTGATAACTTTAGATCAATCCAACAGCAACACTCTATAGTTTGAGGCTTGGCCGCGCTAAAGGTGTAAAGACAATTTTAAATCCTGCACCTGGGCCAGTGGCTTCTGGAAATCCTGAGAAGTTGGGGAATTACGAATTAATGGAAGATATTTTGTCAAACTGTGATTTCGTATGTCCAAATGAGTCTGAATTTTGTTCTATAACTCAGTCTGATTCTGAATCCCTTTTTTCCAAAGATGAGATTGGCTCACTGAATATAGAAGCTTTTATTCCTGGTCTTACCTATTTGCTTAAAAAGAAGATCAAATACCCCATAGTAACTCTAGGAAGTAAAGGAGTTATTGCAATTTTATCTGAACAAGATATGGAAAATATATATACCAAAGACGCTAGCGAAGTGGCTCGTATTACTTTTGATAACCAAAAGAAGTTGGTAGTGCACTTCTCAGCACCAAGTAAAATTGATGTAGTTGATACAACAGTAAGTTAACTGTTAGAATTATTCTTCAGTTCTTCACTAGAAATGACAGTTAGAGATGAGGCTTTTTATAAAATACCGACCTTAACAACTATTAACCATTATGTACATCAAAAACCCAAACTCATCCACATTAAACACAGCCAACAAATTAATAACCACAAGTCGTTATGACTTTCATTGTTTGGATGCAAATCTTTTGTTAAAAACGCTTGACTGTTCTATAGACAGTCGACGTACGTAGATTTCACAAGCGAGTAACTAAACACTACATTGAACCCGGATGTGGTGTTAAACGTAAACGTGCTCTGAGTTTCATTCCCAGACTCCCCAGGTAACGTACAGCCTGTAATTAAATAAGTATGTATATCTGGCTACACGACCCCCGAAACTTGTTATCATAACATTGTCCTCAAGTATATTGGCTGTTGTGGTTTACAGACAAAAGTAGTACGTTTGAGCTACTCTCAGTCTATTGTCACGTCTGCGATTCCGGAAATTAATATTGATCTATTAATAGCTTCAACAAACTTGCATATAAGTCTAAGTCTACAGTGAACACTAAAGCAATATCCCGAGATTGCTATGTACTCATATTAAGCGCTTTTAGTAAGGTGTAGACAGACTTGAAGTAAAATTTTATATTTGCTGGGTATCGGATTTTGCGAAAATTTAACCAACTATCCTAAAAATTACTTGCCAAGAAAGGAAAGCTCCAATCCCAGAAGCAATTTTCGAGTTTGATGGAATTAGAGTAAATTACTTTAGCATAAACGACCCAATGTTACTATTTGGATGAAAAATGCCAGTAACGTCTTAGTATGGGATTGCAAACAATCTAATACATTCATTTGGAATGATCGTCGATGGGGGACTTAATAATTTATAGCTATCGGAGTTATCGCATCACAAAATTCGACAAGACCGTGATGCTATCTAGCACGTCCTACAATTTTGAAGGGTGCATCGTCACTTGGACCCAAGTCCAGTATATTTCAACCTGCCACCTGGCGCGTAGTCATATTACTGATTTATCATACGTCTAAGATGAGTATGTCGCCCTTTATGAAAATGGGTCTTTGCATGTCTCTCCACTTGAACAGCTTTTACTGACAGAAAAATAGGAGAATGTGCTATTAAGTTTGCTACAAACAATTGATCATGCCCTGAATATCGGTCGAAAGCAGATAACCAACCACTTAGTGACTTGAGAATCATTAACAACAAAAACATCGAAATGCACCATAAATCTCTTTTAACGCTACTACTTATTATTCAACAGAAAAAAGGGCGCCAAACTGTATTAATTTATATGATTATATAATCTCTTTTCGTAGGGAGCAGGAGACTGTTTTGTTGGCTCACTAGCTTACTTCGTCGCATGTCACGAGGATATTACTCTAGCTGAACAAATTAGACGATCGGTTTGGGTCGCCAGCCAGTCAATCCGTAAAAAAGGGACACAATCTAGTTACCTGAAACGTGATGAACTTCCTGATACACTCTTTACATTAGAAACATTTCAGTGGCCATAGTAGCTAAAATCAATAATTTTTCCAATATTGTTTGCTTTCTAAAATACTTGGTATGTCCTATATCCCAACTTAAAGAAATATAAAAGATAATTTACACTGAAATAAGTATTATTCAGAATCACTATCACAACTGATTTTGCGCTTTTTCGACTGAGACACCTTGAGTTCTGAAAACAATGTAATAAGAGAACCATTAACAGAGTTTTTAAGAAAACCATTAGGGCTAATTTTAATCTAACCATTACTGCTAGCAGAGAAACGCGATGCTGAAAACAGTTTAACATACGTGTAGTGGATATTTCAGTCCTAAAACTTACATATGCCAACCAATATCTTTGCAATCAGCTGGTAGTTACCCCAGTTAGTCACGTTTTCACAACCTTGACCGTTCACAATGAATATGTGGGGTAATATATTGTCAAGATGGTACCCAACTCAGTCAATGGTTCGATTGCGGAACATCTTGTAAGTTCTGGTCACGTTGCTCCACCAAAAATCTCTTTTAGGACCATTCATAGAGTCAAACAAATTGGTTCGAAGGAAATACAAACAGTCCGCAAATATGAGCTTAATCCATGTACAAAAGCAATATGTTCTACCTCGTTTCTTGTCCCCTTCCATACTCAATAGACAGTTCCTACTGATTCATCAGTTCTTCATAATTATTAATAAGCTATTATTACAACAACAAACTACTCAATTCTTCATGTTCATGTAGCGAGCAATTATCCCTCAGCTATAAACTATCTTCATCGCAACGTCTTTTTTATTATAGAACCTACTTCTGGTATTAGATATTTTCTAACAATTCGCGACCCATTGCTACACTATGTTCTAGTAGCTTCAGCAGATGTCATCGTAAAAAATAAATTTTCTTTGTAAAATCGTCTCTAATCCTATCCAGAAACAACTTGATTTCAGAAGCTTCAGTGTCTTTTGAGAAAGTGTAGTGTCTCGGTATTAGTTTAAATATAGTTTATAAAAATGCTATAAAATGAAATCCATTCTCTAATTTACCATACATTAGCTTAGAAAGTTAAGTAGTATTACTATTCACACACTAAACGGGCTTTGTATTTAAACCTGTATAGCATTATCAATTTGTAATTACATTTCATAGAGCATACTGCCCACCTGCATATTCTCAGCTAGATATACGGCAACCTATTTAAGATTATGTATATCTCAACCCAAACGATTTACGAGGTTGTGTTTATCGAAGATGTAACCCTGTGAACTAAATAGCAATCAAAATAACTATTTATGACGACACCAGTATATGGGAGCATAACGACTTGCCTCTTAAAGCATTTAGGTGTTTTTAATACAGACTGACGGGAATTTAGTCAACATTGCACGATCAAAATAAGCTGGTCTGTTAATGTGATATGATCGTTGTGTAGATTTTCCTGTTAATTGCTAGGAGTTAATATTATTCTCAGTTAACAGTTCTCCCCGTTATAAATTCCGATCTCATGTTTTCTTTGATGAGCAACCAATGCTGACAACCTCATTTTACGATATATTATTGCTTTCCTGAAGTCGTTCCACAAATATTTTGGAGCTTTCAACACTCAAACCTTGTTGAATGAGATAAAAGCGTATTCTGTTTCTCCAGGATATGAATAAAAGATCTAACCCCGGTCATTCCCAAAAACCTTACCACGCTGATTTGGTGAACCAGTGATTCACTGTACACTGATCTAAAGACTTGTTGAGGGTCAATAAAAGAATCAATTCTCTCTTAAAACATGTTTATACTCCGGCCATGTTTTGAGTATTTGCTAAGTACAGGAGAGTTTAATCAAAAAGACGGAGCTCAATTTGAAAGTAAATACCATGGACATGTTTGGACCAAACAATTAATCCAACAGGTACTTGCTTATCCTGGGGGAGCCTAGCGCGATTGGCAGTTCTCTGCAAAAGCCAGCAGTGTGATCTCTATGGAAACTAAAATAAATGGTCAAGAAGGACCAATGAATCTTCTACCAAACTAGTAAATCCTTGAGAACTTATTTCGAAAAGTTCCGAACATGAGAAGCGAAGGGGACTTTAATAAAAGTAGAAAGTTTACGAGATGATCAAGAGCAGTGGTAGATAATGAAAGCAAAGGAGATGGAGTAGCAGTGGTGACAGGTAAGAACAGATAACTCTCTAGATTAGTTAAAAAGTTAGCTCTTAGTTAACCATGATCAATTTTCAAACAAGGTGACTGAAATACTTTGGAAAAAAATTCAACTGGCCTCTAGCTAATATTCAGATGCCTACTACTTATCAATGGAATCTCAATTAAGTGTAAACGCCCATAACTAAATGAGAGCAGAAAATTAGATAGGTTACACCTAGTTCCTCCAAATGGTTGTTTGAAATTACTAACAGAACTAAGATACTAATCGGTTTGAGGGCTAGACAAACTCTCATCTGGTCGGTTCTAAGGGTTGATGGTGCTATTCCATTGGGGAACGACGGATGTCTTGTTCTGCGTTCCTGATCTTGTCAATATTCTACTTTTACCGTGCTAACATGAGGTGGTGTCTCGACTTGGATTGATATACAATTGTGTCAAGTTCTACGTAGATGACTGATTGAATAAATCTACATTAACTCCAGAGAAACATGTTTGGAAATGTATCCTTTCAAAAAAGTAAATTCAGCATTTATCAAGGTAAAAGTTAATACAAGACACATGGACAAGTTATGCGCTTTAAGCTTACTTCGACCAATAGTCTTCTTATCACGTTTACGTTCAGCGAACCAGTCTACTCTCCTTTCCACACATGAGAGCGGTGCCGTTTCAGACTTCATACAAGTAACTAACTCCTCAGCCTTGGATAGTTGACTTTGAGCGGCCCTCAATTCTCGCTCCTCAGCTTCTGCAGCCAAGATTTTTCCAATTATAGGTTCCAAGCGAGTAATTTTGGACTGATAAGTAGTAATAACATCTAGAAAATATCCGTAGAAATTGCACAATTGAATTCCCCGAAGCATTTATAGATGAAAAACTGAAATCAGTAAATTATGGATCTAGAACTTTCAAAACATATATAGGCATTCTCTTCAAGGTATATCCAAAACTACTATCTCCTAAAGTTGTGTTAGGACTACATATGAAACAGTTGGGAGACAACTTTGTGCTGTATAATCCCTAGTATCCTTATTTAACAATTATCAGAATGAGGTAGACATGTAAGCGCTAAACGTCACATTAGATCTTTCTATTATTCGTATATGTTTCGTGGCTTTTAAATTAAAGCATCTGTATACATTACTTTTGATGGCACTCAGTAAGTAATTAATTAGTCAAGAATGGGAAAAAACTAGTTAGTAATTGATAGTTTGAAGCTTACTTCGCAGTTTACAAAATGCATACTTCGTATAAGTGACTAGTTTCATCTTCCTTTCTAATGTGTTGTTTTATGAACTACTAAATAAGTTATCCATAAAGTTATATTTATAAAAATCGCAGCGACTGAACTTTAATGGTAGCCTGAAATAAGTTTTTTTTTAAAAAAATCTTAGAATGACTGATTTGATTTTGATTATAGGGTAAGGTTGGATTTAGATAAGCATTACCTAAACACCTTTATATACCACAATTCGAAGACATTCTCAAAAAAGTGCGTCACTTTATACTTTAAGCTAAACTCAACACCTGTATGTGATTTGGCCCTTGCTTAGCACACAACCGCCTTTATGATATAATTTTTATTTAGTAATTTTGACTATTTTCCACGAAACGTTGGAACGGTAAAATTATGTTATGCTGATCGTCTTAAAAAGTTTTTCAGGCAATCAGGAAACGGAGTTTAGATATAAAACAATTAAAAACAAAAAGCAATCGAATTGCAGTGAAATAATAGTCTTGATATGATTAATTAGCACTTACGTTTTGAATGATTCTTTATGGTAAAGGGAAAAGGTTAATTTGACACCTCAGGAATAGTTTAGTGCTGTGAGTTAGGGTTGTAACCTTAAAGGGTTTTTGTTACTAATTGACATCAGCTGTGAGGTAAAAAGGTAAGGGTTAGGTATAAGGAATAAAGCTAGAGTTGTGAATTAGGATTACGAGTTAGGCTTAGGGCTGTCACTGAGAACTGACATCGACCGTAAGTCAGTAATCCTGTTTATAAACTTAGAAATAGAATGGAGAAACGTTTTCTAGCGACAAGAGCACCCTTGATTATGCTTTAAATCACATCAAGTATGCTTACATAAACTGCACCATGATCAGGCATTTCTCGTAATTTACCTTGAGCACCACGTCATATTCACTGTTAGGTTACACAGTAATTAGTCTTATCATCGATTCCGAACATTTTAGGACGGACATCACGAACGTTCACTTAGTTTACATAAACAAACAAATTATCACTCCCTGAACTTTAAATTCCGCGCAAATATACATTTTGTCTTTTAAATTTTATTTACTCGGTTCACAATTTGTGCAAAACCATTCACCCAGATTTTGACCACAACTTATAACACTAAATCCTCCTAATCATGTATGACGATTAACAGACTATAAACATGGTTATCAAAACTTCAGTCATGCGACCAAGTTACCCAGGTAATAATTTAGAGGCTGTATGTTTTAGTTTTTCTATTCATATTCATGTCGAAGCTTGTGCAACTTCTACTACTGAATGGAACTTTTATAACTACTAACTAAAACTAATGAAAATGTGGTCAGTCAGTTAATTATAAGCGACGTAGAACCTGGAACATATGTGCAAATATTCAAATTACCACACTACATAAGCACGGCGAGGTAAATTGTCAAAATGAATATCAAAGTAGCAGTGATAGCAAAAGAACATTATGCATAGAGAATATGATTCCATAAGAACGAATGAATCCACAGAATAAAAGGTATGAAATAATTTTCGAACACGGGAACCAAGGGACGATAAAAAAAAAGAACTCATCTAGACCATTGCGACTGATTCTGAGACGTTAGGTTAGTTAAGGATGTTTATTATTCATCAAACAGAGATTATTGAAACTAACCTGATGCTATAACTCGTGCTTTAACCGGATAAGGTGCTTGTTTCATTATTTCTTTCATCACTTTGCGATCATCCTCACCCACTAAAGACACTGCTCTTTAAATGAAATTATCAAGTAAAGTTAGTAAAAAAAAATGACATAATGTAATCGAAACAATTATAACTCGCAGAATTTAGAAATCTTGTACTATCTAGTAATAGTAATTAAGCTTAAAAGGAACGTAATCTCGTATTTGTACAGAAACATTGCAACAAGTAAAGTGAACTAGACGCTTTTCACCTCATTCCTAATTCAGAATTGATCTTTAGTTTAGTACATTCTGTTACTTAGACGATTTGACTTACTCGCTTGATTTTTGTACGTAAGATGGTGAGTAATTTTCATACAAACAACGGTAATATATAGCACTTGAACACTCTAAATTGTCAATACAATCATGATTATAAGTTTTGTAAGGATCAAATAAGTCTTAAAATAACAAGGATTATCAAATTCGACGAGAGTTTGTTTATTCATTGAAAAGAAACGACACAATGTCTATTGAAATAGCTGAGTAATACGATATGAATTGTTGAGAGATAGGACTAAACTAAATGGGATATAGTTCGATAAAGCTCTAAACGTTTATAAGCAGATTTGATTTTTGTATTGGTATATCTTTTTACAATTATTATCATATTGAGAATCAGTTATGATAGTTTACAAGTTTTGATGTACAGAATAATTAACTGATATGAATGTTTACCTTCTGCCCCTAGTAAGAGTAAGCAAAGACTGACTGGATTGTTCATTTACTAGAATGATTAAACAATTACTCAACAAGCTATAATACGTGCCATAAGAAATACATCGCTGAGTTATAAGAACATGGCTTTCTATTAATTATTAATTATAAACGTCCAAAAAGAAGACATAGCTAAGTGATTTGCTTGTGTGTTACTGTAGTTGCTTATCCGTAAACAGAAACGTAGAAAAAACATTACAATTACTGGGAAAGCATGAGCTTATAAACAGGAACTCACCGACCAACATTCATAATTCTAGCGGTACGACCAACTCTGTGTACATACTGTTTCATAGTTTGAGGTAAAGTATAATTGATAACCTTAAGATTAGAAAAATCTTTGTTGTTAGGTTAATAGCAACACTAAACCTTTTATTGTGGTATCTAACAAAACAATTATAAGAAGAAAGATTCTCCAAACAGTAATCAATTTGTGAATAATACATCAGAAATGATTCTTTAATCAATGATATTTCTAAGTACTGTTTCTACTGATTCACTGAACAACTCAATTTGTAATTCGAAAATAACTAAAATGGACACCACGGGGACCATACACTTATTGATTTAAGTGTACCCAATCCACACTATAATCACATTATATATTCTTCATTAAATTTCTAGCTTTGATTTGATGGTAAATTTTTTTACAAAATATATTATTTTAATAGTAATAATGAACACATAGCCAGCAGGAAATTAGCGTACACAATACTACAAAAATGTATTCCTATGATTTTCATGTAAGGAGATAAGAAACAACAAATGAAACTGAGTATCTTTCTCATCATTAGAATTAAGATGTTTCGTTCTAAATTTGCTACAACTAAAATTCTGATAGTAGATAAACATGAGTAACTACCGATTCACGTTTGCATAACTACATATATACCTCACACAAACCCAAAATAATAGTGATTATTGTGTAAGCCTACTAATTCTAAATACATACTATACATAGGTCAATTGTTAAGACAATCTATATCTACACGTAATCTGTTAATCATAGGAAACGTAGGACCTGGTACATGTGTATCGGCACACCATGAAACACTTTACATCGGAACAGAAAGGGGAGAATAACCAATCGGAAACCAAAGAAGAATGGGACTAATATATATTCCAGTCCAAAAATGACACCAATAAGTCGTTGATTTTACCAAGCATCAATGTAGTCTCAATTAATCTTTGAAGAAACTGAAGGCCAAAAATTGTCACCATTTGTTTTTGAGAATCTGTAGCATTACACGCCTGAATGGATTATTCTAACTTTTAGACGGATGAACTGATCTAATCTTTCCAAGTAACTGTGTACACATATGTTTGGTCAAGTCGGTTAATTACGTATAACCTTGATCATGCTTTATGCATGTGTGTATGCTAGCAGGTATGTATATGTACACTTGTATTTCTCCTGTGTTTGTAAATACTGAGTCGGACTTGATAAAATCGAGTTGTCTGAAAAGCCTTCTCTAATGTTGAGCTTCTCACCGTCTTTCTGTGTACATAAATGCCTGCAATAAACTCTTCTAACTCAAACCGTATTTCGCTTTTATTATCATGGTTGTCCAACGGGGTTGGTCTAAGTATAATATGCAAAATCAGACAGACGATTGTTTTATGGTTCACTTATCGTCGTTTATTATGGAATCAGACTGCGGGCACTATAAATACAAAGTAATATGACGTATATTTAGTTTAGCTTTTTACCCGAGTCTTACGATTGCCAAGTTAATCAATTAAATTCCGAAAATGAAGCGCAATGAGCATCCAATAAAGGATTTTTTTTTACAAATTCAGACAAATCTGAAGTAGTTAGACGTGATCAAACGATGGAAATGTTTATAACGTTCGCCAAAACGTGATTGACTAAAGGTTAGGTTGTTAGAAATAACATGGACATAGTGATTTTCAGCAAATAACAAACATTAGAGTTTACTCGTGGCAATATTACCATACGAAACACTAATTAGTCCATCACTTGAATATGGAGGGTGCCACAAAGACGTATTTCTTGATAAACGATCAGTGGATTGGTGAAGCTGAAATGTTGGCGTTTCGTAAAACTTAGCAACCTTGCTGTTTACTTTAAGCACATTAAAGTACATGATACACAGTATAACAATTGAGACAACAAAGGCACAATTGAAACTTACTGTTTGTACATTGGGAATATCCAAACCTCTTGATGCTAAGTCAGTTGCCAAAAGAATATCAACAGGGCGTATATCATGTTTATTCATTTCAGAAAGCTGATCAATTGCGCTTTTATTTTTACATTCATCACTTTCACCAACATACGAGAAACGCTTCAAAGCCTCCAACCTCTGTGCTTGTGTCATATTGCCATGTAACTCAGTACATGAAAGACCAAGTAAACCTAACATAATATGCATTTTGTGACAATCCTTCTTAGTAGGTAAGAAAACTATGGTCCGTTTACGAAAATGACGCATCAGCAAGGCTACGACGATCGCTCGTCGATCATCCTCTCTATGTGGACGGATGCGAACAAATTCTTGATGTAAACATTGGGCTACAGCAGTTGCTTGATTGAGGAATATTTGTACTGGGTCGCGAAGCGAAAGTATAGCAAGTTCTTTAACCTGATCCAAAAAATAATGTCATGATATAAACTATCTACACAGTATTAAAATCACAAAAAGAATTATGTACATCAAAATAACTATATGCATGTAGAATTACATGGCCAATTGCATAAAGTTCCAGAAAATAAAATAAAAACCGATTGATTTACACATATACCCGTAAAAAACAGCATTATACGCATGATAGTAGAAAGCACAGTAAAACTAAACAGTGATTATAACCATTTACTGAGCTAGAAACAAATATCGGAACCTATGTACGTCCACTAAATAAATAGCCGTAAAGTATTACACAGAGAACTGAGGTGCATTGTACTGGTCCTTTGATAGACAGACTGAATCCTCACCTGTGCCACAAATTATGGGAGTTGATAAAATCCAAATGTACTTTCACAGCAATAGACTGAGTGCGCTTAACACTAATATTGTTATTACCTCTACTACTCTGGGACACCCTGACAATTTTATCTCGCTGCAATAATAGGATGTGGTAACGTGAACCGATGTATACATGTACCAGTTTCTACATTGATCTTTATCTACCAAGCTAAATAAAGGAAAGGCTAATTTTTCAGAGCTGAAGTCGAAATTCATGGAAAAACAACCCAAATGTTACCACAAAAGTAATTTGACAACTTACACTTTCCGTCATTGTAGCAGAAAATAGCAAGGTCTGTCGTTTTGTGCTGCAGAATTTAATAATTTCTCCTATTTGCTCTGCAAAGTATTCGTCTAAAAGCCTTACAAAAATACAATGAATACGGTACTTACTTGTCAGCCTCATCCAATACAAGGTATTCGATGTGTTGTAAGTTAAAACTAGGAGCATTTGAGAGGTGGTCGATCAGACGTCCCGGTGTTGCAATTACCAAATCAGGATTCAATCTCAAGGAAGCCTCCTGTGAGTGTAAATCAAGTCCTCCTATTTATCCATAAATATATCTCACAATAGAGTAACTCACCAGCCGCTAACTGAATCCTGAGCTTTGGACAATATTTAACTAGCTTTTCGGCGACGTTGAAAATCTGCACAGCTAACTCCCTAGTCGGACTGATCACAAGGGCCCGAGTAACTGCATGGTTAAAATCAGTTGGCTTTTTGCTAGTCTCTCCAAAATAGGCAGCAAAAACGCTAACGTCTTACCGGACCCTGTCCTGGCACAAGCACATATGTCATGGTGAAGTAAGGCAACAGGGATGCATGCGCACTGGATAGGAGTTGGTTTGTCTAAGGACATTTCAGTAAGTGACTAATGCTGAGAATAATTTATTCTGCACTTACTTTAAGTAATGGTTTAGCTAAACTGAGTTCTATAAATGACGACACCTGCTTGTATTTTGTAACAGCACGAGCAAAATTAAATTTTTCTGACTTTTAACAGATGGTAAACAAAGACATACGTTTACCTCATCCTTTTTCTTGCGAACGCGATTACCTTTATCTCGAACGACGTCTATAATATTTTAGTTAGAATGACGACACAATTACCTGTAAACTGAGTAGTGGAACTTTCATCTTCTAAAACTCCTGGTGGAATAGCATCGCTGCAAACTTCAACACTTTCGTCGGAGCATATGTCTTTGCGATAGGTTTCTATTAAGGTATCTACTAATCTATTAATTGATATATGGGTAGATGATAGATTTTGAGCATCCACAACTGGTGTGACATCCTGGAATACCATTTGGTCGACAAAAAATGAAAAGAACTTACAGGAGTATCGAATGAGAACTTTGGATTAAATATCATTTGAACAGAAATAGGATTTACAAAAGACTGATGTTGAAAGCCTGTAAAGATCAAAAACTCTACAGTACTGATTCAAAATTCAGGACCAATTGTAAATTATCATGTAAGATTCATATACTGGGTTTGTAACAGAAGTGATATGACAATAACTGAGGCTATTACTTGACAATATATATGGAGGAACCGTTTTACTGTATTATATACTAAGCAAAGTGGTTGAATGAGGACTAAATGTGAAACTGAACAGAGCTACCCCGTCAAACCAAAATACTGACTTCACAATTACTTCGTAGTGACAATTTCAAGGATAACAGTCGGAAATTACTAGCTAAACTGGCTAGTGATTTTATTCCGTTTACTGTTAGAGCTAATGAAGTGATTGTTCACGAAGTCTAAAAATAAACTAAAAAAAGGCTTACCTGATACTTTGAAAACTGCAAAACATGAAACCGCAGTGTCCAATTATGGGTTAAAAGAGGAGGATTGTGAGCATCAGTTTGACTTGCGATATGATACGACCATACGACACAATCATTAAAGGTGAAATATGACAAAACCGCGGATGATCACATTTGTATCATTAAAGTAGTCCTAGTGTTTATTTTTATTTATTTATTTTAACACATAGATATTAGTACAAGGAGGTACCAAATACATATGCGCCACACAAATCTCATTTGATATGTGTGAGGACTGTGATAATGCTCGGGTGCCCAAACCGAAGCAGATGGTCTTCTTAGGGGGTCACACCCGGAGCCTTCGACCTAAAGATCTAATCTACAAGGCAGTGGAGCAACGTCACGATATGCAGTCTCACGGTAGCCGGTGACTAACGATTGGTTCATATGCCATTTGTTCCCTTAGGATAGTGGAGCCCATGTGCACCAGTGGTTTGGAATCAGGGTTTTTCACCCCCCCCCCAGGTGAACTCTCCATGTCCACTAACCCTGTTAAAGCGCGCGGACTCTCCCCACTCTCGGCCATACCAGGGTATTTGGGGTGATTTTGCTAGTGTCCCGTCAAAATACTGGGTGGACAATATGGCTGCTAGACCTAGTCCTAAATAAGTACGCAAACTATTCAGAGACAGAATTTCTGGTGGCTAAAAACATAATATGGCATTCCAATACTAAGTGAGCTACCAATTTTTGCTTAACTTTTCCATTTAACTAACGGTTTCTTTTCTAACGCCAAATACCTTGGTATGGCAAGTTCGCTATTTTTCACATGGTTGCACGTTTATATTTTCTTTAGGGGAAGTCCAATTTAGTCAGCCTTGACGGACACCACTTGAGGTTGCAAAAGTAAAAGACAGTTCGCCATAAGCCCTGACTCGACTAGTAGTGTTAGAGTAAAGAGCCTTCACAAGGTTTATGTACTTCTGAGGTACGCCTTTCAATGACAGACACTGCCACAGAATCTCGCGGTCTACAGAGTCAAATGCTGCTTTTAAATCAAGAAAGACCACCATTGTCGGACGCCGATAAGTATGCCTATGTTCTAGAACCTGACGAATGGTGAATATATGGTCGATGCAGCCACGACCAGGTCTGAAGCCAGCTTGATTCTCTCGTGTTTGCAGTTCACGAGTCTTAGATAGGCGTCCGATAATTATCGAGGCTAGTATTTTAGATATTATATTAGTTAAACTAATCCCTCTGTGGTTGCCAATTGGAGAGGTGAGATCAAGAAAAAAATTTCCCGTGGTCTGAGGAAAACTAGAAAATTTTTGATGGCATTAGAGAAATGTCTAGATTTAGACATTGATGTCAAAATTAGGTTACAAGAATTATCTCGAAAGAAATATAAAACAAAAGTACAATGCTACACTTATAAAAATTATATTGAAATCACAAATCAGCCAAGTGTAATATGAGCTATTACGAAAATCTAGAGAAAACTGAATTACTACTCAAGTTTCCAACTTTGTGGAAACCCCAACGTTTGGGGAAATTTTGGGAGTTTTGTGAGATTTCCCCTAAATGGGTAAAATTTTCCCCAACATTGGGAGCTTGGGTAACCCAATTATAATTGGGTTCCGAAAAATTGAGGCCTATTAAGATGCACTTTAGAGACCCAAGGTTTTCATGCTACTTAAAATGACCAGTATTGCCATATAGGAAATAATATAAGAGGAAATAACTTATGGATCAGTACTGGAAGAACGAACCAGACCTATGTGACGGTAGCGCGCAAAGCGGATTGCCGCTGTTCAAGAAACAATAACTTGATCTGAGAAAAGATAAGTATATATTCACTATATGTACCACTTGTCTTTGAGATTGTTCACAGAGGTCAGTGCCAAGATGCTGGGGATCTATAAAACTGTTATTTTATTTTGCTACATAATCGCAAATACTATTTTCATGAACGTCATAACTAAAGGATTTTATAATTAGTTCAGTGGCATCCGGTCTGTTACCTGGTAGGCCATGAAAAAATGGCTTGAGAAATTAGTTTAAGAAGTCATATTTCACAGAATGACGTTCTGTGCATCAAGTAAACTGAATTAAGCCATTTAATTCATGTTTCATAACAGATGCCGACTCACTTTAGAGTGTCAAGAAGAGAAACTACCGATTTGATAGCAGAACTTTGCGACATGTCCTACAAAGAGCAAACAAAAGACAAAGATCTCACCAGAAATAAAAATGGCAGTATGCTAATATCAATATAGAGTTATGCAGCTTGTTGACTTTTTATCGAGATCATGAAGCCATCAAAGGTGGTCGAACATTGATAATTCATGTCAATACTCTGTATCCTAAATAGTAGCATCACTGTTGGAATGTCGTTACTTTCTGTTACCTGAGTAACTAAATATCAATGCGGCCGACATAAAACATCCAAAAGCATGACTGAGATAAATTGGGGAGACAATTTTTGTGGCGTTTGTACGAACTAATGATTTCTTTGCACTTGATGATTGCGTGATTTCGAATCCAAAATACAATACTGTAATAAGGTTAAAATCATAACGTATGATGTTGTTAAAAGATTTTGTTTTCTTTCTATTGCAGGGCAACCAAGAATGAATGTTTTAGAAGAAGAAGAGCAATCCCTGCATGCATTCAACTTACAGGATGACTCATAAGACCGTTTTGTAAACTGGCTCTCCTTTCTGTACATAGCCCGTGACTTTTAATCTTCAAATAGACGTCTGGTGGTCTCCATTCCGTGTTCTTTCTGTGGTGTGAAGTGCTCAGTTAACATTGTGTGTGTTGTGGCTTTAGTTCTCCGCTCTCCAGTGACTGTTGATTACACGTTTTACAATACATTCGTTTGTAATCCCTTGGTTCGATTTGACATTATTTGAGTTATTTTGGAATTCCTAGTTCTCATAATGATTCAAATACGTTTAATCTTCACATTAGTGTCGTGATGCAGCCTGTGACAGAAAAGTTGGACACTACAGTTCTGATGCTCTTGAGGATTATATTGTAAAGGTTCGAAATCTGGGCTATGACCAGGGAGGATGTTGATAGTGCGAATATTGTGGCTCATCTCCTTACATTCATCGCGAAAAAAAGTCTACAGCTTAATAAAAACTTTAACATTTCGAAAAAGCGTATTTCACTTTCCTACGGAACTCTCAATGAACTATTACTTGACCACGTAAAGTGTACTAATTTTGACTGCTGTAAGGGAGAAAATTTCCATAAACTAATTCGTCAGGACATGAAGGATTCCTGTAAATTACTACGTCATCCCGATGCAGTGCTTACTTAAGGTTATCCAGGTAACATCATTGGGGAGTTGATAAGTTGGTCACGAAGATGAGTTCCGGTTGGATAAGAGTTGTCATGTTGAATTTCACTCATATAATCCACGTGTATTTCATAATCCTAAATGCCTTAAATCGGATAAAATTTAACACATTCAGGGTAGCTTATAAAACTACTGTTCATTCCCCTGCAAGTGATGCTAAACTTTTCAATTCCGACCTAGTTAAGTGAATGTTTCCAATGAACTATACTCTGATCACATTCATGATATTATTTTGCCAGATATGCGTCAGCTGTGTGGAATAAGTCCCAGATGAATTGAAATCTGATTGCAATCCTTATGGTGTCACATCAGATGTTATTTGTCATCACAATGGATTTATCTTTAGTGATATCCCTAGTGAATGTGACAAATATGTTCCGAATGTGCCGAATTCTAGTCACATCTCTGACGTCATTGTATCGGATGTTGGATATTCTCACAACCAATGTATGACGAACAGAATCCCTAGTCAGTTATCTGATGAATCAGAGGGAATAAAAAGTTTTATTGAAGCAGTCAGAGAACCAGTTTATCTAGACCTGAAGCTTGCACAGGCACAAAAATCTAATCACGTTCAAGATTATCCCAAGGAGTCTGAGGCAGATGCATATTTTCCATTTGATTGTTTTGCGGGTGAATCAAGCCCAGATGAATCACGTGTAATAATTGCACATATCGATTGCAAATAGTTTGTCATTCATTTAGTACGCGGTAAAAAGTCAAATTACCTGTCACATAATATGCACCAGGACATGATGTAGCTGCAATCGGTTTACAGTCTTGAGGAATCCATGTCATTTCGTCAGAGTCACACGCAGCATGAAACCTAGCACATACATTCATCAGCTAAGGTAGCTGAACCACACCATCATAGAGCGATACCAGAGTAATATGACTAGTATTGGTAATAGAAAAGACAACATCTTTCTCTGAAATGGTATCAATGATTCTCTGATTTCCAATAGCCATTTATCTAATGTCTGAAAGTTATCGATTACTTTTATTTCCCTCTGCCTTCTCTATATGTTTCTGTTCCACTGCCAACCACTACTTACGTCATTTATCTACCAAGCTCAAAGTGTTGAGTTACTCAGTATCTTTTATTTCATAAAATGCAACCAAAGTCGAGTGATAACTCCCAACCTTTTGATCTTATTCATTGATAAATAACACTGATGCTCGCTAGAGATTATGCCAAGATATTTCAAGAGAGATCTCATTTCGATGGTTATTAATTAATTAGTCATATGTTTGTTCCTGAAACATAATCCCAAAATTTTAATTATTAAGTAAAAATTCAAGAGGCCTTTATTATGTGGATTTTTTACGTCCATCAAGATTAGAAAATAATTTTGCTAGTACTAGAGAATGATCAGAGACTAAACACGTACTCCAGAATGAGAGACGATCTTCTATAGAGCACGGGTGATGGTGATCTGGTCTATTTGAGTCCATGATTGATTTCATTTTGAGTTGCTATATCAGACAACATCTGACATTTTACTTAAGTCTCTTTCCTTCTAGAAATAGGCTGTTTTCTGGGCATCATCGCAAACTTTGTCTGTTTAACAAAAAATTACACTGTAAAATCCACTTAAATATCCCTCACTTCTTTTCATACACTCAAGCACTGAAATCCCCTGATATGGTTAAGACATCTGAGAGTCTGGCTTTTGAATGAGAGCAGAAATCCTTCTATTAGACAAACATTTATCACCATATGAATTACATTCAGTGGAAGTGTAGATAGATACAGCGAACAGACAATGGTGTTTATCCCTATTATTCCTAAGAAGGACTTAAGAGCACAGAAATGACATTTAGGTAACTGGAATCGCTAACATCCATGGTTCATGGTGTCAAACTTGTATGGAAAGTGTAGATAATATGAATGGGAGAAATATTAAGAATTTACTGAGGTAACTGATCGTGAACAGGAGGATAGGGAGTGCTTCAGGAGATAAAAAGGCATTGAAAGGGAAAAGTAAATAAGATAACCACAAACTAAATGTCAAACAGTAAGGCCGGACACATTATCATAATCTCTTTTCAGTTAGAAAAACTTATAAAAATCTCGAAACCCTTGATTGAACCGAAATGAAATGTATTTTCGATTGGGCACAGGCCTGCAGGCCCTGTGTCCAATCTTCGTTGCAGATGTCGCAGATGATTATTGCTGAGAAGCTTGTGGTGGACCAGACAAATATGAACGCGAAAAGTATAAACAAAGTTACTAAAGATCAATAGTAATAGTAATATATACAGTTAATTGTTACAAATACAATAAAAATTAGGGACGTTACTTAAATTGACCAAACGTTGCGTGTTCTAATGTAAATCCACAGTTATAAATGCTTGATGATTCTGAGCAGGTTGGCAAACTCTCTAGTGATATAATCCCACGTAGAATGTGATATATTCCAATTACAGTCTATAAATAGTGGTAATATTTGATTTAGACTTCAGCTAACTCAATCACAAACGAAAATAGAACGAGGGATGTGTGAGTAGTAATGTATTTGTTAGTCAGCAAGAATATGTCACGCTATGTTAGAATCACAACGGAAAGTGTGTTCAAGGTCATTTACTAAAACAAGTTACAGCCATTCAAGGTTAAATATAAATACAGTGGAAGGTTGA